CCACACTTGCTACACACACACACACACACACACACACACACACGCACGCGCGTGCATATATATAACCAAATGAGAGAAAGAACAAATAGAGTAAAATTCCACTGTTCATAGCATTTCATTTTAAAAAATGCTCACTACAAAGTAGAGCAATATATTATCATTATTATTATTTTTATTAAAAGAGATTATAATAAAACATGTTGAAATCGCTACACAGAAGCTTTCATGTTTCAATAATCTGATTGTATTTCTTCAGGTGATGTTAAGTTACCCTTGCCTGAAGAAGTACAATCAAAGTATTGAAATATGAAACTTTTATGTAGCTATTTCAACAAGTTTTTATTATAATCTTATAATAAAAAATAATATATATATATATATATATATATATATATATATATATATATATGTGTGTGTGTGTGTGTGTGTGTGTGTGTGTGTGTGTGTGTATGTATGTAATACAAATCAATAACATCTATCAAAATACGTAAAAACTTTAGAATTTAACGTGATTTAAATGTAAAATTTTTTATCAAGAAAGTGCCCAATAAAGAACAAAACGAACAATACTCAATTAATTAATTAACGTTTAATCAACTTATTTATTGAGCTACTCCAAAGTTTAGTAGACAATCAGCTCATATTTCAATAAATACATGGCGCTCTCTGACCCTTATGAGTGGAGTTACGTGAAACTTTGTAGTTGGTCAAGAGATTGAACATTTATTTATTGACTATATATATATATATATATATATATATATATATATATATATATATATATGAAGAAATATAGTCTTAAGATGTGTTATATTTATGGGATAAAGTGCTCAATATCAGAGATAGAGCGTGTGTAAATATAAAAGTGAACATAGAAGTCAACACTTAAAAGCGACAGGCTGTTTCATGCTGGATGCAATCGTCAGGCCACGGGTGCTGTTATCTTTCTCGGCTATTTATATATATATAAGGGTCAGTGGTGCATTGTGGGTAGTCTATTTTGGCGGTTATTTTACCGGAAGTCGTTTATTTGTTTATTTGGATTAAATTATTTTGCTTGCTTTTATTTATTTATTTTTTTTTTTCTTATCTTATTTATCTATTTTTATTTTAATCGGTGTTTTTTATTAACATAGTAAAAATTTGTTTATATCGCTTATTTAATAGTTTTGTTTTTGGTTTGGGAAGATAATTAAAGCTATTTATTCAATTTTGGGGTTGATTGTTGTAGTTTATTCTAACTATTATTTTGGAGGGAGCAGTTTTTAATTTGTTTATTACTTCATGTATTTATTTGGATTGATTATCTTTATTTGTTTTTTCTAACGGTTAGTTTATCGGGATAAATTAACCCAAACAAATTACCAAATCACACCTGTTAGACTAGACGAAACAGAATAAAAAAATAAAAAAAAAAATAATTGAACCCAAATAAATAAAGTAAATAATAAACAAATTAGCAAACCATTATGACAAAAATATTAGTTAGACTATAAAAATCAAAATTAAAATCGGACGAAAAAAAATAGCTATAACTGTTATATAACGATTAAAAAAATACTGCGTCATTAAAAATCGAAAACTGAAAAGAGAAAATATACAGTATAACAAATAAATAATAACAAGAAAATAAAATTAACCTAGATTCATCCAAATAAATAAATAAACTAACAAAATGATCCCGATAAACTAACCTCAGACTATCGCCTCTAAGTGTTGACTTCTATGTTCACTTTTATATATATATATATATATATATATATATATATAGATAGATAGATAGATAGATAGATATGAGTAAAGTTCAGCTTTAAATCCGATGAGATGGTAAATATACAAGACAATATGGAAAACTTCAATTAGATTTTAACTAATTTCAACAGGAGATGAACTGAAAATTTTTTATCGTATGCTAGTAATATATTAATCGTAGGCCCGCGGTATATTCATTGTAGGCTGGTCGTATATTAAGTGCAAGCCGGTCGTATATTAATCGCAGGCCAGTAATATATTTATCGTAGGCCGGTCGTATATTAATCGTAGGGGATTTGACAGAAACGTTCAATAATTTACTCAGAGGAAGTTGCATTGAAAAATCCTTAAAGTATTTTTCCATTTGCTCATTGTCATGTATTATTTGGATATATAAATTTGTGTATCATATCTTTTGTATATGAACTTATATATCATTATTTTTTTCTCTTTAATTATTTTATATTTTTTTTAATCGTTTATTGAGATTTCTTTTTTGTTCCTACTTTATTACATTTTATTTCAAGCTAAAAATAAAACGCTAGATAATGTACAAAGTCATTTTGCCTTTTCAGCTTGATTCAGCTGAAATTCAAATTACCGCCGTCCAGGGTTTCGACATTGTTATCTGATCAGATTATTCAGCGTTTCGTTTTAGGAATATGATGGCAATATAAAAAAAAAAAAAAAAAAAAAATCTTATGATCAGAATCGGGAAGAGAGAGCTGAAATTCCTTGGACACATAAT